ATTTGAATTGAGCAAGAAACTACGACACCAATGATCTTTCTCTTGCAAATGAATCTCTGTAGAGGCTAGGTTAAGAAACAAGAAAAGAGCTTGACGAGTAGAACGAGTTCCAACAAATTGATAATATTTACCATGATGATCATTGTGCTGGTGATGTTCCGTTGCGTCTCCGATGAAGTCGTGGCACGGAGCAGAATCATGCCTCTTGCGGTGATGACGATGATGGTGGTGATGGTGATGATGGTGATGATGATGATGATGATGACTCTTCCTACGGTGTTGGTGATTCAACGAAGAGGAGGCAGTCGATGTTGAAGTCAGTCTAAGCCGACGAGGACTGGCCGGTGCGCTACCGGAACGCTTGCTCAAAGCCGAGGAGGCTTTAATCGCCTCCACCTTCGTTTCCACCAGAGCAGCGAGGACGGCTTCGAGACGTGCCACCTCCATTCCACTGCCACCATCGTCCGTCGAGACTGCCTTGTCAGCGACATCGGAAGTCGACGGAGTCACCGTCATCTCTTCACCTGCAGTTGTCACATTACGTTCACCACCCTCGATGGTGACCACTTTGTAATAAGAACCGTCGCGGGACTTTTCCAAAGCCCGCTGCCCGAACGGTCACAAAACCGACACGCTAGAGTTCGACTCCCCCTTCTTCTTTCCTCTTTCTTCCACGACACTATCCACTGAAAGCTCTCGTATAAATCGGGACAACATGAAGCTGATTATGTTTCTCCGTTACGCAGCTTCACTTCCATTCTTCGTTCATCCGAGGTTCATCACTCTGCGTATGTTGATCACACTCGCCGCCACGTCCGAAAAATGACTTCTTCGGAAGGAAGAAAACACGAATCTTGTGCTTGCTCGATGTCTTTCTCGATCCCGGTAATGATCAATGGGGTTCAACGGGGAAGCTATTAGACCATTAATAACACTACGGCCTTCGCTCGTATTTCCTTCTGCTTCGTATTTCTCGTCTTCTCGTTCCTTTCATTTGCCATTCATCACTCGGCTAGCTCCCCCATTAAGACGAATGACGTCTGAGTAAGTCTTCCGTAAATGTAAAGATAACTCCTTATTTCCCTTCGGTGGGAAGATTTTCTTTTTTCTTCGTCGGTTTAACTGTATTTTTAGTGTCCGTTTCGTTTCCAAGAGATCCAACTGTCCCAATTAGAAGTGAGCAACTGTCGGGTACTTTCTTCTCGTATTTCTTGTATCTTGCGCATTAAATATATCAACCATTGCATCGTGGAAGCAAGACCAGCGATTCGTTTAATTGAAAAGGAAAATCATTACGTTTCTTCACACTTTCTTCTGTTACTTTTCACGCGTGTCTCGTGCTTTCCTTGCACGAATTTCGAAAGCAACTCGATTCATTACCTCAAACTTAAACCCGGTTTAAGGATCTCTTTACACGCTCGACGACCTCTTAATATGCGCCTTCTTTTTTCTGTCACTTTGACCAACTTCTTTTACCAATCGATCCACCGCACGCACACATTATCTAACAACAGTTATCAAGATGATCGTACTGCTTAACAAACTGATCAGTTCGTAATTCGTTTCGCGAGTGTAGTTCCGTAGAATTCGCCATCCGAGCTCGACTTTTGTCTCCATCGTAGACAGCTGTTCGATGCTCTTCTTTGTTCACTTTTCGTTTTAGGATCGTTTGGTCATTCGGAGGTTGCGAAGAGACAACTGTACGTTCAGATCGAGTCCATAACTTTTCGTCCGTCTCACTTAACGACCAACGAGCATTCGTTCATTCGCCCTTGACTTCCGACCGACTTTACTCGACTTTAGTTAGTACCGTTGCAATCTGGTTCGCAAGCGACCAGAAACGATAAATCGGATTGCCAGTCGTGATCGTCGCGTTGAAACGTCAATTACCGTGCGGCTTTGAAATCGTTGACCTCGCATCCATGTAAACTCTACTCTCATTGAAATCACCCGAGGTAATTGGCAAACGATCGGATCAGAGGAGATCGCGCGATCTCGTTGGCTCAACCTATCAATATCGAACTACGAAGGGTTGGCCGTGGTGGCGTCCTTCCGAAATGAAAGAAAAGCCCTGGCAAGAGTGTCGCGGCAGCTTGTTCTCGCGTGGCCAACTTCCCTCGACCCTTCCTGGTCTCTCGCGTACCTAATGACCTCGTTCCTTTGTGAAACGCGAAACGAAGGTTGGTCGAAACACGTAGCCATGTTAAGCAGCGTTCGTTGCGAAACACCGGTGGTTCGTGTTTGTGTCAAGTGTGTTGTCGAAACTGAGGGTGGGGAAGAAAAGAAAAGAAAAAAAAAAAAAATGTCAAGAAGCAAAGGTCGAGGGAACTCTAAATTATCACTGGGAGATCTACGATGAAAATTCGTTCGATAATAGGGTAATAATCCACGCTCGCTCGTTACCAGTCTTATTCGTACTTCGTTGCATCGCTGGAACGTGTACTCGAGGAGGCGATCGAATCGCGATTTTATTTCTCGGCTTAATAGGATCACGAGCTAAACGTCGTGGTACGTGTAAACAGTCACTTTTGTATTGGTGGAGTTCGTTAATGCGATTAGCACGTGCTTCTTCTTTTATTACTCTGTGGAAGCTTTCATATTATGATGATAGAATTTTCCTCTTGGCCGATGTTTGGGAGTTTGATTAAATTGAAAGATAGTTTCCGACGCTATGCATTTCTATTACGGTGATCGCTCATCCCTACTTAAAACACGTAATTTCAGTAAAGCGGCCCCCTTTCTATCCAGTAATTTCTGTAAAAAAGCGTGTAGTGGTAGATCCGGAGATTGTTGCGAATCTTCGTAGAACTTTCAGTAACATTGATAAATCTTCCAATGTGACGAACGACGGGAATTTTTTATCGTGCTATAATCCTGACCTGACGACGGTAGCAAGTTTTCCTGTCCTTTATAACGTCTTTAACGAGTCTTCTGGTACGGCCATCGAATCAAAATCCCTTATCGTGTAATGATCAACTTGATGGAAATTGCAAATTTCCATACCGTTTGGTAAAGTCTTTAACGACTCTTCCGATGCAACGAGTGATCAAAATTCCTTATCCCTACAACGATATCGACTCGATGAAAGTTGCAAATTTCCGCGTCGTTGGTAACGACGTCAGCGAGCCTGTTGGCGCAACGAACGAAAGAAGAGAAACACGCTGACGGAGAGAATGGAACAAACGAGCAACCCGTTGACTGCGAAAGTCGAGTGCAGAAAGTGTACGGCTCCTCGTTTGACCTATCAAAGTCGGTAAACATTGATGCGCTTCTGACATAAACGACCACAAATACCATTTACTATCATCGAGTATGCTTGCACGGGGTCATTAATCATCCTCGAAATATCCAACACATCGGATGTGTAATTTTCAACTGTACGACACAAGCTACGTGTATATCCTCGTGTGTATCAATTTTCAAGTCCCTTCTCGAGTCACTCGAACCCCCATCCGATATCTCGCGCGAACACGACGACGTGACTAAAAGGAGAGGAACCGCAACGGGGAGACATGGCAATCTGTCGCGCGAAACCGAGATCGAAGGTGAACGATTTCGGTGGAAACCTGCGAAAGATCGAAGCTGGAAGATCCGGCGGCGAGGAGGCCCGAAGTCCGCAGCATCGCCGACTGCGTCCCCGTTGCGATCACGCAGGGGCGTTGTGTCCTTCAGGGGCACTCGTGGGACACCAGCGCGTTGATTCCCGGCGGATCCATAGCTCAGGCAAGCGGTGGCGTTACGAACAGGCTGCGTACGACGGCGAGAGTGGTTGCTTGCGGTGCTCGTCGTGCATCGTGGCCGGGTCGAAATTTCGGGGGCGGCGCGTGTATCGAACACGAGGGCCGAGGGAAAGGGCACGGACACGGAAACGGCACGTCACCTCGAGCACGTTGCCACTACGTTAGATCGCACGTAGTTCCGTAGTACGATGTGTGTCGTAGCGATGGCGCGATCTACGCACATCCCCGGCCGAAGGAATTGCGTGCGCGAGTTCTAGCGATCGCTCGAATACTGGGAAGCGTCGTGGAGCAGACAGGGTTGGTAGGCAGGTGGCCGGTCTGGCAGGGATGCGTTCAGCCCTACCCCTTCCTATACCCGCCACTTCCACCACCAGCTTCCACTACCAATCTCTTCCCTCCGTCGCCCGCAGCGACGACCAAGCTTCCGGCGACCTCCCTTTTTGTCCATAGTGCGGTCACCTTTCCCTCTGTGTCCGTAATCGCGGAGATATCGCGTTATGCGATATCCCGCTCTTCGTGCTTTCCTTTCTCACGTTCTTCCGCACGACTGTTAGGGCACTCGATAAAAATGAGACGAGCCGGAGAGAATGTTATGTTGGGCAATCGTGAGAATTACCACCTCGTTTGCGATTTTACATTGCGAAAGTACACGGCCAGTATTTTGATTATCTCGAGGAGAAAGAAGAGCCCCCGAAATTTGGACAAGAGTGAATTTCTCCCAGATTCTTCTTCCTCAATCTTTCCTGACGAAAATTTTCCACTGTTTAACATTCTGACGATCAATCGTTCATTGATTGTTCTGTTAATCGATGTCCCATCGCATTAACATACTGCCGATGAGTATGCCGATATTTGCATGCGCATGGATGGGAGTCCATCGAGATTAAATTTTAGTTAATGTTCCATTAAATGAACTTCCACCGATTATTGAATCCGTTTATCTAAATCTGGGCTCCTATTGCACGAACTCTAGTTTATCGATGGATTCAGATAAATAAAGTTACATCGCACATCAATTCATGAAACTATTGAATAAAATGTATATTTAATAAAGGGGAAAAAATTTTTAGCTCGAATTATCTCTCTTTATCTATCTCTTATTTTACCATTTGTCTTAGCTATCTCTTATTTTGCCATTTTTCGTACAACAGTCGTTTATATAATAAATTAAACACTTTCCGAACAGTCTTGATTTATTAAAGCTCAAAAAATGTAGATAAGATCTTATATTTTAATACTTACGAGAGAAGCTACCCTCTATTGTTACCACTATGCCGAAGAATTCCAAAACTTTCCTTAACTTTGTTATTTACAACTTAATCTCAGCATTTCAGATGTGGTGCCTTGTGGTATAAACTTTATACCTAACCACATCATAGAACTTGTATGCCGTGAATAGTGAAAGGGACATAAAAGAAACAACGTT